GGCCCGGCCCGGGGGTGCCGCACGCCGGGGTGCGGGCGGGGGAGGGGGGCACCAGCACTTCCCCAAAAAGCAATCCTGAAATGCACCCCCCCCGCTACTCACAGGCATGCTAAAATGCTGCCCATCGTAACGATAGAGTTTGTGCTGTCCTTTTTTCAGAGCCGGGTCAATAATCAACTTGTAACTTCTCCAATGGTGATTCCTCTTCTCGACAGCCGCGCCGGCGGGTGCGTTGTTCTCCATGCCGCGGCTCCGACCTGGAGGGGAAACACAACACAACCGAAAAAAAAAAAAAGAGAGAGAGAAAAAAAAAATACACCCAAAGTTAAAAAAAACCCACCACCACCCTGCTGGCCACGGAGCCCATTTTCAGGATCGGCCGAGCCGGGGGGAGATGCCCGGCGGCCGGGCAGGCTCCCGCCCGGGCACGGATCTCCAGCCTCCCCCCAGCCCGGGGAGAGCGGAGGCAGCCAAGGGGAGGAAAAAACAAGAAAGACCCCATCTCACTTGAACTCTGTTTTTTGCCTGGATCTTCAAGGGTGCGCGGCTTTCTCTCCTGCCTGGATCTCTTTGAAAGACATTGCATGGGGTGGCCGATCGCCTGCCGGCCGCCAAAGGCGAGCTCCTTCTCGCATCGGGCTGGTTACATTACATTGCTCGGGAAAGGCTCCTGCCTCCTTTTTTTCGCGAGCCAACACATATTGTGCTTTCTGCTTGCTTCTCAGGCATCCCACAATACACCACTCCGGAGCTCGGCTAATGGCTAACCGCCCTCCACCGACTGCACATTCACGGCAGCTGCAGCGCGCTGCAAAACCCCCCAGCCCGGCCGCCCCGCCGCGCCTCCCCGCCGCAAATAAAAGCCGGCGCATTTTTCCCCCGGCCGTGCGCGGGGGCCGGGCCCCGGGGGCCCCGCATGCAGGACGGTGCCTGGAATCTGCAGGCTGCATTTACCTGGGTGCAAAGTGTTTCTAATGCAAGACGGGCAGAGGGGGGCAAGTGTGGGGCACTACGCGGGGCCGGGCCGGGGCCGGGGCGAGGGCGGCTCCGAGCGGGGACAATGTGTCAATTTCCGCGGATGGGGAAGCCGCGGGGAAAGTAGCGATTTTGTGCTCCGGCAAGGTCCTGAGCCGGGCTCGGCCAATCAGCGGCCGGCTTCCATCTTGTCCCCGCTGGCAGAGGAAGCGGGGCCCCGGCGGCTGCCTCTCGGCTCGGCTCCGCCGGTGCTTTTTGGGTTTGTAATTTGGCCCCGGCTAGGTAATTGGCTGGTGGCAGGCAGCAGGCGCCCGCAGCCAATCGGCGCGCAGCTTGCATCGGGCTTGAGTTATTAGACGCGGATCTAAAAACATCCTTCACCAGACAGCTAAGGAGAGGCCAACAGATCAGGGAGCCATTTTTCTGCAATGGAATTAAATGGCCAACTGGGCTTTCCTTTGTTCCTAAAGGGGATCCTGCGCGGGGAGCCGCCGGGCCGGGCCGGGCCGAGCCGGGCCGGGCGGCTCGGCGCGGGGTGTAGTGCCTGGCAGCCTGTTAGAGGACTCGCCGAAGGAGGAAGATAAAAAAGATTTGGATTTTTCCCTATGACTTGGAATCCATCTTTGTCTTGTGTAACTAGGTCATGGCACACCCTTATGTCAGCAGTAACAATTTTGAATGCAAAAAGCAGTCAAGAACATGTTTTTGTGGGGGGTTTTTCAGCTGCAGGGCGAGCTAGGGGCCGAACAATACATTTAACAAGAGAAAAAAAAAAAGCCTTTCCTGTATGAAACACTTAATACCTGGCCAGTCGTTCTGTTTTTTTTTCTTTTTTGGGGGGTTTTGTTTTTTTCCGTAGTTCACTCCTTTGGTGCTTTGCTAAGGTAACGTTTCAATCTAGACGTAGGAATTCTGGCAACAAAAAAAAGCTCTTTGACTCTGATAAACTCTTTTGTTTCTTTGACATTGTAAGTACCCAATCCATTCTGTCCTTGCTAAGTGTAGTTTTCATGTTAATGTTACTCGAGTTGTCCTGATTTCCGAGCCTTCATTTGCATGTCTGATGTTTTTGTCTATTTGATCTAAACCAGTTGATGCTTTTGAAGTATTTTTTTTTTTTTTTACCTCTACAGCAAAGTCTCTGTAGCTAGAACTGTTTCGAGCTGCTTACATCCAGGAAACGTTAGCCAGGCGTTTCACACTAACACGGATCGGCTAACAATACCTAGGGAGGACATTTTCAGTGTCTGTGGAGCTGTGGAAAAACACTGAATGTCCTTTTTTTTTTTTCCTCCTCTCCTCTCCTCTTCTTCTTCCTCCTCCATGTACAGAGTAAATCTGTCACGGGAATGTAGATTTAAGCCTCGAGTGCGAGCCCTAAGTGGATCCAGCCAGGCAGCCTCACTGGACAACATTTTCTGTAGGGTTTTTTGTTCCCTTTGGGGTTTTTTGGTTGGCTTTTTTGGTGGTTGTTTTTTTTTTTTTTTTGGTTTTTTTTCCATTCTGGTTCTGGTTTTTGGTGCCACACCACTGCCACATAAAGACGGCTCAATGTCCAAACGAGACTTCCGAGAGAAGTGGTGCTACAGATCCTAGAGATCTGCCCCTGTTGTCCTAAAAAGCCAAACAACACAACGTCACCTCCAGACCGCCATTCAGCTGTGGTGTGCGGGTAAGTAGAGCCTTTTGCCCTTGCCAGGCCCACGCGGCGAGGTGGTCTTGTCCTAGGCGGAGGGGGCCAGTGGCTTCCGCAGCCCGTAGCCAGCGTGCCCGTGCCAGAGGGACCGCTCCAGGGGCGAGGGAGAGGGTCGCGCTCTCCTCCACCAAGCGCTGCGCTTGTCAGTAGTCCTGCTCGTGTGTGCGCGTGTCCAGGCGCTGCAGGTCCACGCTGGCGCGGCCGCCGCTCGCCCGTCCCCGACGGCGCCTGCGAGCAGGGACCCTGCCTACGGGGGTGACGAGGGAGCAGAGCCGAGGGCCGGTGCTCCAGGCCGCTGGGGAGCAGCCGGGCTTCCCAGAAAAGAGATACAAAAAACAAAGCGGGGGGAGGTTGTGTGCACGGGGCCGAGCTCACCGAGGCTCCCTAAGAGCCCCCGGCCCGAAACCCCCCCCGTCAATGCTGCTTCCCGGGGGGGGGCCTGCAAACAGATCCGCGCTGAGGCGCCCGCAATGGCGGCGGCTCCGTCCCGCTGGGCAGTGACGCAGGCGGGGCTGCGCGCTCAGGCACGTGAAGCGGCCCCTGCCGGGCCGGAGCGGGGGGATCTGCCCCTCGCCCCGGGCCTGAGGCGGGG